GAGCATCGCAGACTAAACACAAAGGAAGGAGGTCATAAAAGTAAGAACCTAACTCTAAATGTACATATCAATTCAAAGTTTACCTACTTTCGAAGCTTCTCGACCTCTTCGAGGATGAACGAGACATCAAGGTGGGGACCTCCTCGATCCCGATAAGGCATTCACCAAAAATGTCATTCTCCCCGTGGGATGTTCCCACATCAGGAGTCTTCATATCTTGGGCATCCCGTATTTGCCCCTCAGAAAATGATGGGCCTGGTGCAGAGTCATTCACGTCAATCACCCCGAGAAGCTCAATCGGGGCCTTCTCCCACCTTCGAGGAACCTCAGGGCTAGGTTCTCTGAGTTCATCAACCAGGTGCCCTTCAGGACGGGGCGCTTTCTTGCCACTAGTCGGTTCGAGAATCTTGATCGAGCTCCCCCCAGGAACTTCCTCAGCTTGAGGTTGAATAGCTTCGGTGGCCTCCAGCTCAGCAGCCTTTGAAAGATCGGTGCCTCCTCCTCTCCGAGTTATTAACGGGCGAGCATCTTTGTCCTCGGCCTCATCTCTCTCTTCGTCCTCAGCACGAAGACGTGCAATAATTTTCGGAGTCAAGGCCACCGTATCGACCCTAGGTTTTCGAAGCTTGGCCTTTTTTGCTTCGGGGACACCACCGACAACCCTTTCCTTCTTTTCTTGTCCTTGGAAGGTTTTTGGGTCTCTCCCTCGCCAGGTAGGGGCGGCCTCATCGAAACAACATCTCCGAGGCCTGCACAAGCGTAAAGTTAGGTGTATTGCTGAGGAGTATTTCACTAAGGAATTTAAATATGTAAATAATAAGGACTCACCGTGGTTTTGGCCTCCCATCGGCTTTTGGCCAAATTGCGCCAGACGCGCTCGGCATATGTGGAAGTGGAAGCTAGTTGCCGAACCCAGCCTGGGAGGTCCGCAACCACACCTGGATACCAATCAACGGCTGCATCATCAAAAGGGAGTTAGTTCAAAGGAAAGGGAAAATGTCTAAGTAATGAAACATGCTCAATAGGTCTGTACTTACGCTTCGTATTCCATTCCTCGGGGAACGACATCTTTTCAGCAGGAATCAAGTTGGAGGTCCTGACTTGAACAAAGCGGCTCATCCATATTCGTTCTTTATCCTCATCGATGCTAGCGAAGAAAGACTTCGGAGATCGACGTTGAAATTTTATCAGACCACCTCGATAGAGACGAAGGCTGTATAATCTGATCAGATGGTCGAGGGTAAAAGACATCCCCTCGACTTTGCTTGAAAAGTACCTAATTAGGTGAACAATCCGCCAGAAGGAAGGATAAATTTGGCCGAGTGTCACTTGGTATTGTCGACAGAAATTGAGGATCACTAGGTCTAGAAAGGGCAAAGAAGGATCTACGGGACCTAAGGTGAATGGGTATGTGTATACGCTTAGGTAACCCGCTTTGTGAGTGGTAATATCCTCATTAGGTGAAGGGATCTCCATGTGCACTTCATCTCCCCCACGACAATCTGCCTTCACTTGTTTGAGTTAAGTTATTAAGCTAATATACCGAGACATGGGTTCACATCGTCCTGGAACCGAAGCAGGCTTGTCGACCTTGAAATCGGAAGACGTATCACAAATCCCGGGGGTACACTCCTCAATGCGAGGAGGTACCACCATTTTGTTCTTCGACGGGCGTGAAGACGAAGAGGCCTTCTCTTTTTATGGAACTGTCTTAGAAGTTTTTGCCATTTTTGTTGTGAAAATTTAGAAGAAGGAGAATGAGCTGGTTAAGAAATGGGCACAAGGAAGGAATAAGTGCAGAGAGGATTTGAAGATATTGTAAAAGTAAAAGTTTGAAGAATGAAGGATTGAAGTATTTGTAGAGGCTGTCTAAGCGTGTTGGAGAAGCTAAACGGATGACCAATAGCCGTCTTTCATTAAAGGCTTTTCGAAAACTGTGTAGGTGTAACGTTTTGCACGACTTTTTAGTCACACGGACCGCTGACCTCACTAGACTGACATCATGATTGGGACATCGAAGGGGCGAGAATCAGATCATTTCTTATCTTTTCATTGTAAGAAACGCGGAAACTATCTGTATACGGTCGAAATGGGAGAGCTCGATTTTGAGGACTTAACGGTACCCCGGGCTTGAGTTCGGGCAGCATGAAGTAAAGACCAGATCTGACTGGAAAATGCATACCTCGAGGGAGCAAATCGGAGATCCGTCATGATCTACCTCGGGGGCAGTACAATTTCGATGACACTCAAGAAAGAGCGGGAATTTCTCAAGGACGTGTGGATCAGGGCATAAATTATGGGATAAGATTTGTACGAAATAGTACGAGTCCGTACTAGGTTGTTATACAACTGTACCAATAGAATTCTTTACCATAATTGGGAATGTACCATATTAGGATTTTTCCCTCCTATATAAAAGGGACCCCAATTATTTTGTAAAGACAGATCTCATTCACTATAATAGAACATTCTATTTTGCCTTTCTCGTTTATTGTGCTCCACAATTGTTCTTCAACTTTATTATTCATACTTCATTTGATCTTAACTCACCTCGAGGCCCCCGAGATAATCGAGCTTGAGGTCCCCGTTGCTCTAACAACACTGGTTTGGTTCATCAATTCTTCTTACTTAAACCTAATATTACTTGTATATTCACTAGTATTAGAATAAATCACATATCTTTAAACCACAAATCACCTTTAATTATTACACATATTTTTCGAGGTAAACAACAATAAAGACAATAAAATTATGTAATATGAATATCTCTAATTAAAAAGCCATAATAAAAATAAACATTAATCTAAAAGTACTAAGTCATGCTAAAATAAGTAGACTAATAAGGGAGTATTAATTACATGACTAAACGCTAAAGCAAAAATAAAAATAGGTTATGCATTTTTATCTAAATCATTGCAAAATAAAAAATAGATATTCAATACATTGTCGTTCCTAGTATTGTATTGAATGTCTTTTGTTAGCATTAGTATTGATTTGATTTTTGTTTGGGCTTTTGTTAGCATTATTTAAGTTACTAATATTAATGGCTATAAAACTTATTGGAAGATTCAAAAGTTCTACGTCCAACCTTGAAATAATAATACCTTAAAAGATAAAATTATGAAAAAGTTTAAGAAATATTTATAAATTACATCACAATAAGTATATTTATATATTAAATATTTCTAAAATTTCTATATATGTAATGTCGGATTTGTTTGGTTTCGGTTTGTCTTTCTTTAGTTAAAATCCAAACCAAACCAATTATGGTCGGGTTTTTTTTCCAACACCAAACCATAGTCGCCTTTTTTTTCCTCGGTTTGACTCGGATTATCGGGTTGGTGCGATTTATCAATTTCCTTTGTACACCCTTACGTCTTAGCATGTTTGGTCAAAATTTAAAAATATAGTTACTTTGAAAAGTGATTTTAGCGAATGAAATTTAGAAAAAGAAAGTACTTTTGGATGATAGCAGTTTGTGTTTGGTGACATTATTAGAGAAGCATTTTTATTAGTATTATAAAAATAGTTTATTTATGGAGAATCTTTATGAAAGTATTTTTGAGCGAAAAATATATATATAAAGATTCACTCTATAATTAATATTATTTAAATAGATAAGTGATTTAAAAAATTATTTGAGACTTTAATTAAGTTTTCAATTTTATTGAACTTAAAAATAAAAAATAAAATCAAAAAATAAAATGGGGAATTTATGAAATTTTGATTATAGATGTGTTTTTCGATGATGCATGAGTTTAGATTTGTCCGTAGCTGTGGGATAGTTTACTAAATATAATTTTCTTATTTTTGTCCCGAATAAACAGCTTTAACTTCTGCTTCTAAGGAAAACTTACTTTTTTCAGTTTAGTTATTTTTATTATTTAGTTTAAAAATAGTTTAGTATTTTCGACTTTTTTTAATAAAACACTAAGTATCAAAGTATTATAGTTTCAACACCTTCTCTCCTTAATTTGTTAACTGCTGGACTAATTAAAATTTCATTAGCTAGCCTATATGAAAGTGATTAAAACTAGGGAATGTTTGTGATAACTTTGAGAGGTTCATCTATGCGATTCTAGAGTGGGGGTATAATTAACTTTTTTTTTATTACTCCCTTAATTATAATTAAAATTTAAAAGTATAATTAACCTAGGCCAGTACTGTGCGGCCAAGGGTAGAGCTAGCGTGTGGGTTATAGGTTCGGAATTCAGTAACTTTGGTCAAATCTGTATTTGTTTAAGAAATTCATTGGATATGTATAACATAATTAATTTAGAAGGATTAAAACCCTTGTTGGAGCCCATGAAACAATACACATGCCCAATGAAGACGCTGCCCACTTGAAGCAGCCTCCTTAGTAGCCCGGTTCATTTTATTTAACTAGACCCGGTTCACTGTATAAAATATAAATATAGAGTTTCACATTATTTTGTACAGATATTACATATTAATAAAATTTCTCTATTCACCTCATGCTCTTTTCTCTCCATACAGACATTTTATCTTAGGGTTTCTTGTGTGAACTTTGCTTGAAGTCATGAGGAATTCGACTATTTTCATGGTATCAAAGCACGTAAGCTCGTAGATCTTGTGTTTCTGCATCGATCGATGGCACCTTTGCTGAGTTTGGTTAGAGTTTGATTCCGTCGATGTTCTGGGATTTCGTCAAATTTTTTCTCATTTGGTGGAGTTCTGTTGCTTTCACGGCGTAGGCTCCATTTCCGATGGGGTTCCATTGGTTTTTAGCCAGATCTGTTCATTTTTGCTGAGTTTTTTTTCCGGTCTCGACATAAGGTTCGAAGCTAAGTGTTTTTTTCCAGTTTTGGTTTTCAATTGGTAGTTGTTTTGTTCTCGTTAGTGCTGTGAAAATTGACTAAATTTGTGAAAGCCTAAATTTCGTTCAAACCTAAATTTTCAATTGCATAACTTTCTATCAATGGCTCCTATTTGACGATTCCTTCACTACTACTACTGCCGCTACTTCTTCAACCTCAACTATGTCTTCTTTTGTTGAACCATCACACCCTTCGTATCAGTACCCGTCTGATTTGCCTGGCACAATTTTGGTCACAAAGACCTTTAATGGCACGAGTTTTGGGGGTTGGAGACGAAGCATGTTAATTGGATTATCATGTAAAAATAAATTGGGGATAGTCAATGGGACAATACCCAAACCTAGTGAAATCTCTGTGTTGTTTGAATCCTGGGTCCGTTGTAATGACATGGTGACTGTATGGATACTAAATAGTCTAGACACTGAGATTAGGGGGAGTGTGATGTATACAGAATCTGCTCAAAAACTTTGGAAAGAAATCGAACAACGATATGAGAAAGCGAATGGGACTAAGGTGTTTCAAATCAGGAAAGACCTTGCTTCCATTTTCCAGGGGTCTTCCAACATTGCTTCCTATTTCAGTCGCATTAAAAAGCTTTGGGATGAGTTGGCTTATTCAATTACTTATCCAGACTGTACATGTGGTTGTAAAGAGGCCTTTCGGAAGATAAAAGAAGAGCAAAAGGTTCATCAATTTTTTGATGGGGTTAAATGAAACCTACATTGGGGTTAGGAGAAACATTCTTCTAATGAAGCCTTTGCCTGATATTAACAATGTGTATGCTATGCTGATTGAGGATGAAAGCTAAGCTGAAGTTCAAATTTCAAGTACCAATGCATGTTCATCTTCCTGATGCTATTCTTGTTTCTACATCTTCCTCTATTTCTACTTCTAATGCTCCATCATGTGACATTAATACTCCTCTTAGAAGATCTGGCAGGCCTTCCAAAACTCCTGCTTATCTTAATGATGATTATGTATGCACCTCTGTTTCTGGTTCTAATGTGTTACCCACTTCTGATGTTAATTACTTACTAGTGCCTCAATTTTATCATCAAGTTGTGTCTAATCCTTCTTGGCAAGAGGTCATGATGAAGGAGTTTCGAGCTTTAGATACCAATAACACCTGGACTATAATGCCTCTTCCATCAGGGAAGAAAGCTATACCTTGTAAATGGGTTTACAAGATAAAACAGCGGGCAGATGGTTCTATTGAAAGATACAAGGCTATGTTGGTGATTAGAGGGGATAGTCAACAGGAAGGAGTAGATTTTACTGAAACCTTCTCTCCGGTGGTCAAATTGACCACCATTAGATGCCTACTTTCCATAGCAGCTAAGAGACATTTGACAGTATTCCAACTTGATGTTACCAATGCTTTTCTACATGGGTATCTTGATGAAGAGGTGTATATGAAAATACCTCCTGGTTTGACTGTTCGGTCCTCTACTTCTACTACTCCTTTTGCCTGTAAGCTTAATAAATTCATTTATGGTCTTAGACAGGCTTCTAGACAGCGGTATGCGAAGCTGTCCTCCGCTCTTCAGTTAAGGGTTTTCATCCTAGTGTTAATGACTATTCTTTGTTTCGAAAATTGCATGGGAATTCCTTGACTATAGTAGCTGTTTATGTTGATGATATATTGGTGACTGGGGATGATTTATGTGAAATTGCTGCCTTGAAACAGTTTTTAGATGATCAGTTTAAGATAAAAGATCTTGGTGAAATTCATTTTTTTCTTGGACTTGAAGTTGTAAAGCAAGCAAATGATTTTCTGGTTAATCAACACAAGTTCCTTGTGGAACTTCTTTCTGAGTTCCACTGTTCTGTTGTCACACCTGTTGTTTCCCCCCTAGATCCTCATGTTAAGTTGTCAGCTGATTCTGGAGAATTGTTGCGTGATCCCTCCATCTATAGAAGGTTGATAGGGAAATTAAATTTCTTGCAACATACTAGACCTGACATATCATTCACTGTTCAACATTTGAGCGAGTACATGTCTGCCCCACGACTAGACATTTGAATGTTGCTTATCATGTATTGAGGTACTTGGCTGGTACATCCTCACTTGGTTTGTTGTTATGTAATTCTCTTGATTTTACTCTCCAAGGTTACTGTGATTCAGATTTGGCAAGTCGTGCTAATTCTCGATGGTCTGTTAGTGGCCTTATTGTATTTCTTGGTGGTTGCCCCATTGCCTGGAAGTCTAAGAAACAGCCCACAATTGCTTTGTCTTCTGCTGAGGCTGAGTACAGGGCATCTAGATTGTTGGTTGCTGAGGTTTCTTAGGTCCTTCGTCTCTTGGGTGAGCTTGGTGTGGCAGATCTTGTCCCTGTTGATATTTTTTGTGATAGAGCCATACACATCGCCAAAAATCCCATTTTTCATGAACGTACTAAGCATATTGAAGTGGATTGTCACTTTGTTCGGGATGCATTGAAAGCTGGGATCATCACTCTACACTCTATTTTTACTCATTCTCAACTGGTTAACATTTTTACTAAGCCCCTTTTGGGTAGCAGTCAACAGGCCTTCATCTCCAAGCTTGGAATGGATTCCTCTTCCAGCTTGAAGGGGGTGTTGGAGCCCATGAAACAATACACATGCCCAATGAAGACGCGACCCACTTGAAGCAGCCTCCTTAGTAGCTCGGTTCGTTTTATTTAACTAAACCCGATTCACTGTATAAAATATAAATATAGAGTTTCACATTATTTTGTACAGATATTACATATTAATAAAATTTCTCTGTTCAGCTCATGCTCTTTTTCTCTCCACTCTCGTGTGAACTTTACTTGAATTCACGAGGAATTCGACTGTTTTCAATCCTGAACTCATAAACTTCAAAAATCATGATTTCGCTTGTGTGTGAGGCCACGTTGATTTCTATCAAACTACCTTGTAATACTTAATTTTAATATTTTCTTTGCTCTCCCCATTTCCTATATATTCCATACGAGAGTTTATACCACATCATATGTTCTTTGGTTAACTCGTTTAGAAGGTGAAATTTCATTCCTTTTTAATTCACCCCATAACTCTCACTATTTGTCATCTCCAAACTAAATTACTTGTAAATATCGATTAATAAAACTCTAGATTCAATTTAGTTTAATAAATTTAATAAAATTGGATTTGATTTTGATTTAATTTTCTTTGATAAAATATATTGATGCAAAAAAAAAAAAAAGAATTTTGGACCCAATTAAATCCTCCACATGTTAGTTGAATCAAACTCAAGTTAATGAAACGACTCGTGATTATTTTACTAATAAAAAGTTGTTAGAGGACATGGATTAAATTATTGCACGTTATAGCACATGGATTTGACCTGGAATTATAATTTCAATAATTTTTCATGCTCATGGATCGAGGCAAGTTAAACAAATGAGATGTAATCCCCTCTTATTTTTGTTTCTGTTAGAACTTAAACCCTGATTAGCTCATAATTCACAATAGGAAACTTGATGGTTGATGTTTAGAGCCCGTTTGACCATAAATTTTTATTTTATTTTAAATATTTATTTATTTTTTCGAAATTAGTGTTTGGCAATAAAATTTCTAATTTTCACTTAAAGATGAATTTTGAAATTTTTCGAAAAAATTGAAAAACTCCAAAAAGTTATTTTTCAAAATTTTCACTCAGATCACTCGCAAAAATTCAAAATTAATCCAAAATTATATTCATGTCTAAATACAACTCTAATTTTCAAATACTATTCACTTGGAAAAATATTTCACTTTTTTTTCGAAATTTTACAATTCTAGGGTATGTTTGGTATAACGGAAAATATTTTCCGTGGAAAATATTTTCTTGGAAAACAAGTAGTAATCTTATTCATTTTCTGGTGTTTGGTACGCAAATTAAGTAAGATGACTTCTCAAGAATATTCATAAATAATTTAGATATAATAAACATGAAGCCATAAACTTTCAAACCGACAACCTTCCGAACCTACATTTTTCATAAACTTTCGAAACGCGGAATTTTTAACCCGTAAATTTTATAATTTCTAAACCCGTAAACTTCAAAACACATAAACCTCCGAACTCATAACTTTGGAACTTGTGAAATTTTGAACCTTTAAACCAATAAATAAAAAAACTAAAGCTGAAAAATATATTAAAACATTTTCCGGAAAATATTTTTCAATTTTCCTATGTTTGGTTGGCTTAAATATTTTGGAAAACATTTTCCTTATGAACTCATTTTCTTCCAATTGGAGGAAAATATTTTCCTTATCAAGAGAAGGGCAAAAATTTTCCAAAATTCCTTCTCAACCTTCCCTACCCTCACCAACCCACCCCACCCCCTCTCTCCAAAAAAGTTTTTTTTTTTTTTCAAATTTCAATTTTTTCGTTACCACCCACCCTACTACCCCTCCACTCCACCCCCTCCCGCAAAAATATATTATTTTTTTATTAACAATTTTAAATTTCTATTTTTTCATTTTTCTACGCCACCCACCCTCCCAACTGCCCATTCCACACCGTACAAGGTTAGTAGGTAGTCAAGTTTGGACACCGTATCTGTTCCATATTTTTTATATCAGTATTATTATTATCCACGTATTTTATTATTGTTCAATTTTCATTACTACCTGTTGTTCCGCTTGATGCGGGCTTCGTATTACTTTGTTATTTTGATGTTATTAATTTTCTTGTCTTCAATATTTTTAATATATCTTCTTCATTATTGTTCTTTTTTTCTTGTTAAAAAATATTGAGAAATGCTTTTCTTGAGCCAAGGCCTATCAAAAACAATCTCTCTACCTCCATAGGTTAGGGATAAAGTCAACGTATACATTACCCTTCTCAAACCTCACACTATAGGAATATACGGGGCATGTTATTGTTTGTTTATCCTAGAATTTAAGATATATTCAATGTTTTAAATTAATTTAACTGGTAGCCAGCGATGGCAAACTTCAAACAAAACATTGTCTGCTCCTCCTCGTCCTCTCCTCCTTATTAGTGTTGTTACTTTAAGAGGAAGCTTCCCTGATTCTAAAGTATAACCCAAAAAGAAAAGAAAAAAAAGAAAAAAATACCCATGGCAAGGGTGCTCAAAATTTGAACGGACTTTACGAGGGGCTATGCAAGGATGTTCAAAGTACTTTTATATCAATAAGAATTTTACCCTATACAAAGTATAATTTTCCGCGGAAGTGTGATTAGTTGACCACCCTTGGCCACACATAGCTTCCGCCCTGCCTGCTTATAATCAGATTCAAGGTCAACGTTGAATCTCGTTGCTTATATGTACAAGATTGAAAGTTCTCACAAATACTAGATTTCCAAGAAAGAGAGAAGAGACCTAAAAGATAAAAATGAGGACTAAATATTTAACAAGGACATGTTCTTCTTAACATAAAGGTATTCCACAAAAGCAAATTCTCGTCAAAACACACTAGTTGTCGCTCAGAAGTGCTTATTAGTAAATTCTTTTTACGCTGATTTTCAAAGTTTAAAGATTGATCCACTAATACCACCACTACATTTTGAGTAAAAATCAATTAGACCAATTCCAAACAGTCATTTAAGTCTGAGATTTGCTTCCTCATATTGCCAACCCTGTGTTCTGCAATGTGAATATTTCCCAAGTTAATGTAACATACACCACCTCTTGGGAACTTAGAATCTTCCTTAAAGTATGATATAGAATCTCTCAAAAATGTGATAAACCTAAAAGTAACTGAAGTTTGTTAAACTCAACCAAACATTGAGGTGTGACCCACAATCACCCAAGGCTGCATGCAGAGTGTCACGTATTCATGCAGGGTCCGAATAAGACCGCACCCCAAACAGTATAATATAGACAGCCTAACCTAATGCAAGCATCAGTAGGTTCTTCCACGACTTGCAACCGTGACCTATATGAGTCTAAGCTAGCACAGCTTTAAAACGTGTCTCGGACTTACTTTCTTATATATCCAATATTTTTTCTATATTTCGCGAATGTGAGATTTGGCTAAGGTACTACTACTCCCCTCCCCAACTTTTGGTAAACCCTACTCTCCAAAACACCAATCCATGAGTCAACAGGTGGTTCTTTCTTGCAATGCCCCCTTGCTGACTTGAACCTCTGACCACAAGGTTATTACGGTAGACTATCCCCTTGTCTTTTTCTCTGTAAACTTCTTTTCTAATCAAATCCTAGAAAATCTCGAGTGAGTTACCAGTCCCACATGTTCCCCATTCCAAGCTCAAAAGTAAATACTCCATTTTCAGACTTTTCTCAGTACCCATACTAAGGATTTTAATTTGAGATGGCAGTAAAAAGATTTAGTCCAAATTTTACTATGGAGTCAGTAATATATTCATTAGATCAATTCTCCTGGTTTTGGTTTTCAACATAGCTCTCTTTGAGGCAGTACCTAAGGCAGTTCTCATGTCTTGGCATCAGGGGAACCCAAAATATTAGCTGCACCCTTTGCCAAATGGCCTTTCATACCCCCACCAGCTTGTGCTGAGCCCTTTGCATTTATCATCTCGGCAGCTAGAGCAGATTTCTTTATCTGCCAAAAGAATGACGACCAGTCAGCAAACAATAGCAACCAGAAACCACACCATTTAACAAGTTGACCTATATATATGTCACATTAACTTCTCACAAAACCAATCACACCCAAACACCTCACTTCTGTTTGGGGATATGAACATACTTCGGAACTTTTTGTGGGACAAACAGGGGGAAGTAAAAAAAATTGACTTACCGCTGCAATTCTCTCCTTGTGGATGTCACTTGTAAACTGAGAAACCACAATAGAAACAATCAAATAACCATAACAGATCCGATTAAAGATAACATCACAAGAATGTACCTTCTCGGAAAAATCTACTTTTGAAGTTATGCTTTCAGAATAAAGCAGTTATTAACTTACCGGCTTCTTGTAGGTCCTGATCTCATCCCCACTAAAACCTGGGAGGGTCATGTTCCAATTCCTTTCTGAACCAAAGATTCTATAATAGGTTAGGTACTGCATATTGCTGGACCAGTCAGGAATAGAAGGTAACTTACCAAGATGCAGAAGGATGTCCTTTGCTTCCAAAGTATTGGATTTTCGATGCTTGGCCAACGAACAGCCAAATGTGGTAATCTGGTCAAGCACAAAGTAGTTAAGAACCAGTGAATAAATGAGGAGCACTGTTAAAACAGATTTCTCATTTTCCTGGAGGTTATACAGGTCCAAAGTGATTTTGATTTTAACAACTTAATCACCCACAAAATATCTAAAACTTTGATGTAAACATGCTGTGGTTTAGAATGAGCGGCAGCTCATTGTAGAGCTCCTATTTTGAATCTTAGAAACCCGTGGATAGATCGGCCTTCCCTTTTCTTCTACCCTAGGCCACCCCACGCTCAAAGGTGGGGTTAAGGTTCTCTTCAGTTTACAAAACTCCGCTGTTCAATAATGAGTCTGAATACACATAACCTACTTGAGCTGAGATTGCCACTCCAGTATTTGCTCTACATCCATTAGCTACACTCACCCCGCGAGCAAATACTCCCTCCCTTATTCCAGTGTATTTTTCTTCTTTCTTACACTCAACCCCCAACCCTCTTTAAATTCCTGCCACAACTTTTTAGGAGAACCGTAGAATACTAGATACTGATATCCATTACTCACTCTGTCCCAATATTTGTGTCATGTTTTTCTTTTTAGTCTGTCCCAAAAAGAATCTCATGCTTCCTTATTAAAAAAACAATTTAGCTTTAATCTTCCTATTTTACCCTTAATAAGATGATTTATAGCCGCACAAATATCTATGACTTGTTTTAGAGCATAAGTTTCAAAAGTCTTCCTTTCATTCTTGTGCCGAGTCAAACACCGCCGCATAAATTGGAACAGAGAGAGTATGTCGCATGAATCCCTTTTCTCCAGAAGAAACCGAAACTGACAAATATGGGAGGGCTTTTTTGAAGATAGACTACACCCATTTTCCCCAGCTCCTCCTCTGTACCCTCTTTAGGTTTATAGAACTACATATAATATAGCTAAATGAAATGACCTTCTAAATCGCTTGACATTTACATAAAGTTACACTTCAAACAAAGCAAAATATCCAACTGGAAGAGATAAAAAGCCACTGATCTGCATGGGAAGAGACATATCATAAATAAAATAAGAACTTAAATGAAAATTGGACCATGATTTGAAATTATCCTTAAAACTAAGAACATCGGTTTCATTGTAGGAAACAACTTTATGTAGAATAGTAAGATCTAAAAGCAAATTCTATTTCCTGCATCCTAGAATTCATTGAGTTAATCTAGGAAGAAAATAGTAGTATTTACAAATTCAAGTAGCAATTTCAACCTTTCTTGTACTTACCAGGAAGTAAGCTATAAATGAAACCACCATACCCCTGAGCTTACCCTACTTTTCTTTTCTATTTTTGAGATAAATAACCCTGAGCTTACCACATTAAGCTGGACAGAATAGTAAAACTGAAAAGTAATGGCATTATCTACGACAACAGAAGAGCTAGCTTTATCCTATCAAAGCAAGGCCAAACCTTGACCCCACCAGAATTCTCCTGAGAATAAGCTACAATATAGCAACTCCTAACCTATCAGAATGTCAGGTGAGATATCAAATTGAAAGTGATGTTTCAGTGTGAAACAAGTAGAACACGAACTTACAGATTCCACAAATTCCCCTGCTATATCAACAAGGACGTCTTCAACTTCAGCATCCAATTTCTCTGATGGATCAATCTGTCAAGGACAAATGCAGGTCAAGCAATTGCATCATAAAGGCAAAGAGAATACACAGATACTCGGTACCAAAATCGAAGAGCAGGAGAGACAAAGAGGACATCATGTTAAGAGAGGTTTTGTTCACTTTCCAAGTTGACAATGAATGACAAGGCTGCTATTAGTATATTTATACACCTCAAAATTCAATAAGATTGCCCTCCTGTTCTTCCCTACCTTATACCTTTAAGAGGTTATTTTGGCAAAAATGAGGCCAAAACTGGACCTCTTACCAAAACCTTCACCTGTGGCAAAAGCCCCTAGCGGTTTCTCCACCTCCATATCTACCTAAAATGATAAAAGTAAACTAAACCATATTTTTTTAACTATAAAGATAAGACTTAATTTTAAACTGAAGGATAAGATGAAGAAAAAGTAACTGTAAGTGCAATCCTTTTCTATCGGGAGCTACATCATCTAGTTAATATTATAACCAATGTTATTAAAGGCGAAAAGCGCAAAAAGCTCTAAGGTCTGTTGGAGCTTTAAGCGCAAAGCGCAAATAAAGCATAGGCTTTAATGAAGAAAGGCACAAATGGAGAAAAACTACAAATATGTATGTGTAATTCAAGACCAATATCTATAAGAATGAATACCAAATATATGGACAAGGAAATTGAAGAAAATTTACGATAAAGTAAAATATCAATTGTTTAGTGCAGCCTTTTTAGGATTACGCTCATTGTCAAAGAAAAGTACGCCTTAGAGCTTTGACGACAACACTAAAGCGCACGCGAAGCGAGGCGATGTGCTCAACATGTTTTGAGCCTTGATAACACTGATTATAACTTCCCAATCACTGACAACCTAGTACTGCTGCATTCTCAACACAATGCACCTCATCCTATCAACTGACATTTAACAATCTTACTTCAACACAAATTTCAAAACCATTAATCTCACGGGACTCCAAGACCAGAACTAACTAATTAGAAGAAAACCAAACAAGAAAAATGCAAAGTAATTTGCGGTGGAAGGTCCTCATCCTTTGCAGGAATTATAACATTGTGAAGTGATCCAGCTATGAGCTACATGCCAATATAATGAAGACATTAAAGCTTTGAACATATATATTCTCCTTCAAATTAAATCAGTATATACAGGAATAACTTCAAGAAAGAAGGATTCTTTAAATCAGGTGGATCGTGGAAAATGCACAAAAATGTAGAAACAATGAGTTTAGCATGTCCACAGTAACCTGGGTCAGAATCTCCTGGATGCTTCTCTTGCTTAGAATCCTAGTACAAGGTTCTTCCGTCTCTAAAGTGGTAGCCTTACTAGGAGGTCCTGGCTTGACCATAGCGGATTGCATCAATGCATGAGATGAAGGTCTCTGTACTCCCAATGCCTGCCCCCTGGCAAGTGGCTGATTAGATAATGATTGTGGGATCCTCGATGGGGGCGTCTGTTGTCCCAAATGATCTTGGGATTGACTTGAGGTTGAAAGCTGTGACTGTTGGGCAGAGGATGAGGTAGTAACAGTATGCTGATGCTGCGAAAGAATATGGGACCTTTGATGCAAAATCTGAGGGCTAATTTGAGGCCTTAGTGATGGTGTTGGCAAAGGGGGTTTTCCTTGTGCTCCTGAAGATAACCATGGCTGATTCTGGGCCCTTGGACTTTGAGACATAGTATGCAATTGGGAAGAAGGTAATCCCACTGACTGAACTCTCAGCATGCCATGGCCTTGAAAATTCTGCAAGGGTAAATGAAAAAGAAACAGAAAACCTCAATATTTTACAGCCAAAAACCATGTGAATAATGATCTACAAGCACAATCTGAACATAAACAACCAAATAGTAGAAAAGGGCATACAAAGAAATGTTTCTATCTTGCAAGGAAATACTAACCTGTGTAGCAGCAGACTGACTACCGATGCTCGTCTGAGGTCTAAGAGAAGAAGCGACAGGTCTCAGCTGCTGAGGAACCCCTGCTGGCCGCATTGGTGAAGTTGAACCAAGCGACCCCATCATTCCCATCCCATGCATTCCTTGTATTTGCTGCCTCACCTACAGACAATAAGAATCATTTAATATCCAATACAGAATGTAAAGCAAGAACACAGGGGCGTAAATGCACACAAAAAGTATGAAGTACCGAAGCACCCAACTCATCAACAACAACAACAAACCCAGTAATTTCCCACGAGTAGAGTTTGAGGAGGGTAAGATGTACGCAACCTTACCCCTACCCTGGAAGGACAGAGCCTCTGAAAGACGGTATATATCAACATTCCAACCTATTCCTTTGTGGATAGCCCGTTTCCGATAGACCCTCGGCCAGAGAAAGGATGAAAAAAATAATGGCAACAAGTAGGAATAACAAAAAGAAAAAAGTAAGAGCGAAGCCAAGAAAGCAGCTACACTCTAGGTACTAATATCAATCAATGAATAAAAGGATATCATACCAACACTAATGCTAGTAAACTAAGACAAAGAGAAACATTCGACTACCTACTAGCCTTCTACCCTAATCTTCGACATCCACACCCTTCTATCTAGGGCCATGTCCTCAGTCAGCTCCAGCTGCGCCATGTCCCGCCTGATCACCCTCTCCCCAAGACTTCTTAGGCCTACCTCTACCCCGCCTGATCACCTCTCCCCAGGACTTCTTAGGCCTACCTCTACCCGCATGATACCCACTAAGGCTAACCTCTCGCACCTTCTAACTGGGCTTTTATACTTCTCTTTTTAACATGCCCGAACCATCTCAACCTCACCTCTCGCATCTTATCCTCCACATGGGCCACTCCCACCATATCCCGAATAACTTCATTCCTAATCTTATCTAACCTGGTATGCCCACGCATCCACCTTAACATCCTCATCTCAGTTACTTTTATCTTCTGGACATGAGAGTTCTTGACAAACCAACACTCTGCTCCATACAACATAGTTGGTCTAATTACTACCTTGTAGAACTTACCTTTAAGTCTCAGCGGCACATTCTTATCACACAAGACACCGTAAGCGAGCTTCCACTTCCTCCATCTTGCTGTGATACGGTGCGTAACATCCTCATCAATCTCCTCGTTACCTTGTATTATAGATCCAAGGTACTTGAAACTCTCTCTCCTGGGGAAGGCCTGTGTATCAAGCCTTACACCCATGTCCGCTTCCTGGGTAACTTCGCTAAATTTGCACTCCAAGTACTCCGTCTTGGTCCTGCTCAGCTTGAAATCTTTAGACTCAAAAGTCTGCCTCCAGTCTGTCGTCAACACCTCATCGAGTCTCGTCAATCAGAACTATATCATCCGCAAATAACATACACCACGACATTTCCCCTTGAATGTGTCGCGTTAATGCATCCGTCGCCAATGAAAACAAAAACATGCTAAGGGTTGCTCTCTGATGCAACCCCATCACAACCGAAACACCCAACTCAAATAACCATATTCATAATTCAATTAAGTAGACCCAGCCACATAAACAGGAATAACCAAGATCCAAAAATCACCTAACAGTTCGTGAATTATGTTTCGGTGTTTTAACAGCGATTCGGAATACTTAATCATGCATCCTGAATTGTTATCTATTTGTCCTACTATTTAGTACTCTGGTCATATTTGTTTATCATTTAAATTTTCACATACCCATTAAAAAATTGTTTAATAGCATTAATCATTTGGGGTATTCAATTAAATTAGCATGATTTCTTCGTTAAAAGAATAAGCAATTATGATTGTATGCCTTCTTGGAGTAGTAAGGGTAGAATTGGAAAAAATATGTTAATGCCTTCTTGGTTATCTTAAAGCATTAAATGCTATGGAACAATTTTTTTTGGCTAAAGTGACATATAAAAAGGACAGGAGGGACAAGAGAGTAACAATTTTTTTCTTGAAACCCAACTCCATATAAATAATATGTATATATACGACCCAAACATCATGGCGTAGTCAATTATCTCTTAACTTAGTAATGTTAGGCTCTTTCCAATGCAACTAATGATAGTACTTTATATTGTCTCCACAATAAAAAGTGGACGAACGGCTAAGACTGGACCCTACATGGTGGATTCACAATCCAATGCCTTGATTCATTTGACTACATCAGCCCTTACACCTTCATATGTTAAAGTCTCAAATTTGATTCTCTATTACCCAATGATATGAATTTAATATGGTTATAGCAAATTGTTTGAACTCTAGACGTAGCACACCAGTTTGCACGCATCTCATCGGGTAACTTTGTGCAACTTTTTTGCCTTTGATGGGATTTAAACTTTGATCTTTCATGGTCTTCATTTCTCTTTATCCACCCCTAAGCCACATGCTTGGATGCTCCCCTAATCTTTCTTCAGTAATTTTACTACTTAGCTTCTCTTGTTTAAATATCACAAATGATCTTCAGGACCTACTCCCAGTGGATTAGTTTATAATTAGGCTGCAATTGCAAACTTGTTGCTTTTCCAAGAACTAAAACGATCTAGTACACAAAAAAATTAATTGAAATTGCATACACATAGGAAAAGGATGCATCGAATTTACATGACACTATTTTTTATTAGTCCGTTCCAGAAAGCATGACACGTTTCTATACAAACTAACAATTTAAGTTTAAAGTTTCCATTTGACCCTTAACGAGAAGCTTTTATAGCCGTACAGATGTTATGACATGTTTAAGATAACAAATTTCAAAATTTTTAGTAATTTCTTTCTTAAAGTCCATTTCGAGTCAAACTCAATCACATAAATTGGAACTAAGAGAATAATAAGAAGGTGAAGATTGAATAATACCTGTGACGTAGTTGAGGTGGGAGCAGAAGAATCAGGCAAATTGCGACCAAATTGCTGCCCAAAAGAAGGCGAGGGCGGAGTCATTGAGGAGAAAGAGGTAGGAGGGTGATGAGCAGGTACTCCCATGGCCATTCCTCCAACTCCTCTAGGGTTTTGCATAGCACCCGACGAAGACGAAGAAGTAATCGAAGATGATGATGATGACGAGTGAGGTGGCGGCGGTGGTGGCGGAGGAGGTAAAGAGAAGTGTTGAAAAGGTGAAGGCTGTTGCCATGGCCTGTTAAAAGGTTGTCTTGTTTGAGCATTTTGTAAAGTGGGTGTTAAAGGGTTTTGCTGTTGAGTAGATGTGGCAGCTGCGGTTGCGGCGGTAGTGGTAGCGGTGATAGTGGTGGTAGTAGGGTTTAGGTTTTGGGGTGATTGTGATTGTACTACTGAGGTAGTGGTTGTTGTAGTAGACGGGAGTTGACTGGTTGCGGCGGCGGAGGACGAAGGTGGTGGAGGTGGAGATGGTGGTTGAAGCTGTTGTTGTTGTTGTTCAGTTGGCTGTGAAGTGGACGTCGACGGCGACTGAGTTGGCGGCGGCGGTGTCGGCGGTTGTTGAGTTTGCTCCATTGGAATGATTATTTTCTTGATTTCCTATGATTAATAGAGGGGAAACGATTATATATAAATGATTAAGCTGGTTAATATAAGGTTAACAATTTAATCTCACTTATTTAAGCTGAGATGAGAATTGGCAAATTCATAAATGTTTGGCAAATTCAACTATTTCCCTAGCTTGAATCTTGTTCAATTTATAAACACGTGCAATCTCATCTCCAACTGAGACCGTTATCGATCTCATTCACTTAAAAATTGGTATAAAAGTTATTAATAATAAACTCTTGAGTTTCGTAGCTCCAAAGAAAGTTCCATAATTTAGTTAAAGATAGATAGTAGGGAGAATGTCGCTTTAAAAAAAATCACCTTATTTAGTAAGTTAAGACACCCTTTGCACGGCGAGTAATGTAATATAATCAATGCGAGCATCAAATAGTATAGTACAGCTAAATAAATGAGAAGAAATCACCAATATTTTTATTTCTCGTAAGATTTGAACTTTGATCTATAAAAATTGCACTTATTTCATCGACAATTAGATCAGTAATAACAGCATAGGAAAGAAACTATAGTAGTGAAGAAGTCATGAAAAATGAAGCGGTAATAATAACAAGATAATAAAAAAATTAAAGCAGAAAAAATATTATGTAGTAATAGAGATCTAAGAATAAGAAAATACGAGAATAATACTAGCGTTACTGGACAGAAGAAAGCAGAATAAAAGGCGAGTAAAACTCACATAAGCATAGGGGAAGACACATTCATGAAAAGCGAGTAGCCCTGTCGTGGGACTGTCAAGACCCAAAATCTAACCATGGTCGTGATGGCGTCTATCGTGTTACAAGGCAAGCCTACTTCCGAAAATATTACTTCTAATTTGATTATAAGAATTTAATAAAATATTTCCAATAATTTAATTCCTGATAAACTAAACCAACTCTAAATATAAATAATATAAAATACGGAAACGAGTCCCAAACATCAGGGTGTCACTAAGTCAAGAGCGTTTAAAATTATAAACTAAGATATATAAACCATCTGACTGTCCAAAAGAAGAAATGACAAGAGGAGTAACAAGGTCCTGCGGACACTAGCAGCTACCTTGAAATCTCCACAGATAGCCGGCCTGAACCCAGCGATCGTCGCACTCTAACTCACCTGGATCTACACATAAAGTGCAGGTGTAGTATGAGTACAACCACCTCAATAGTAACAGAAACAACTAAGGAACTGAGCAGTAGTGACGAGCTAAGTAAAACAGTCCAATTATTTATTTTCACAATTTAAAAATAAACAGGTAAATTACATGACTCAGTAAGTGCCACAAAGAAAATTTAACAGATAAATGCAGCAACACCAAAAGTAAATGCAACCTCACAGCAATCTCACTCCATCACTCAGCACTCGCACTCAGCACTCAACACTCAATACACTCAACACTCTATGCTCACTGGGGGTGTGTACAGACTCCGGAGGGGCTCCCAAAGTCCAAGTGCTAAGCACGGACAACTCACGTGCCATCATATCAATACCTGGATCCACACAGTCAACTCACGTGCTACGCGGACAACTCACGCACTATGGTATAAATACCTGGACCCGCACGGTCAACTCACGTGCTACGCGGACAACTCACGCGCTATGGTATTAATATCCTCACAACCAGGCCATCATATCAATACCTGGATCCGCACGGTCAACTCACGTGCTACGCGGACAACTCACCCGCTATGGTATTAATACCTGGACCCGCACGGTCAACTCACGCGCTATGGTATAATATCCTCACAATCAGGCCATCGTTCTCACTCAATCATGGACCTCACTAGCCTTACCATCATCAACAAATAAGGGGACACAGCCCACATCAAGTATCACAGCATATTAGCAAATAATAGAAACTGAGGTAAACATGTACAATAATTCCTATGACTGAGTACAAATAATGTAAGCATGAATAAAGCCTAAGCATGATCTCTAACATGAAGGCAGACAAGTTCAACAACAAGTAACTACGTAATCACAGATGATGGCCATTAGGCCTCACAGGACGGACCAAGTCTCAATCCCTCGAGGCGTACACCCACACGCCCATCACCTAGCGTGGGTATCACCTCCAAACAATCACATAATATCAAACTCTCCGGGTTTATACCCTCAAAGCTAGAGTTAAAATTGTTACTTACCTTAACAGCGTAAAATCCTACTCTGGAATGCCCTCGTCTCTAGATTCGGTCTCCAAAAAGCTCCGAATCTAACCAAAACCAAAATAATATTATCAACATGGCTAGAGAATCGAATTCCACAATAAAAACTACAAAAATAGGCCAAAAATCCAAAATCAGCCAAAACCTGGGCTCCGGACCCACGTCTCAAAACCAGTCAAAAATGATAGAATAATAAACCTCGTCCTCTCCCGAGTCTAACCATATAAAATTTATCAAAATCGGACTCCTTTTGGTCCCTCAAATCCTCACTTAAAACTCTCCAAAACTCAAACCCTAACTCCCTCAATTTCATTTTGAAATCATCAATCAAATCCCAAAAACGAAGATGGTTTCATGAAATATAACCAAAACCGAGTAGAGAACACTTACCCCAATCTCTATGGTGAAAATCGCCTCCAAAATCGCCCAAATCCGAGCTCCCCAACTCAAAATATGACCGAATGAACAAACCCTTATTTTATAGTATATTTTTTGCTAGCTATTCTGCCTCGTTTCTCGTGCCAAACAATTCCAAAACTCGCTTTTTATGCCTCCAATGGATTCCTTGTGAAATTCTAGTCAAGTTAGGCTTTTGAATTACTCAATTTGACATTATAATGAAGGAGATATGTTGGTTTCAATATTTGCAAATAGTGCTGATTTTTAATTACGCCGTCAGTGGCAATTCGTAATTAATCTGAAAAGTCTGACAACCTAATTCTTAGTAAAATGACCATAAAATCCTCATATGATGTCCAAATTCAACGATTCTTTTTGCTATAGGTCCGTAATTACGATACGGATCTAACGCTTCAATCAAAAAAGAAATAGGAGCTCGTTTGTTCAATATGATATCATTTATGCTTGAAGAAACGGCGTCGAAACATAAGAAAAACGAGCGCAACACAACCCAAACCTATCCGAAACTCACCCGAGGCGCTCGGGACTTCAACCAATAATTCCAACAAGTCATATATCACTTCCCGAACTTAGTCGAACCTCCGGAACACCCAAAACAACACCAAAACACCAAATCAACCTCGAATTCAAGCCTAAGAACTTCTAAACTTCCAACTTTCGCCAATTCAAGCCTAATTCTACCACGGACCTCCAAATTACATTCCGGACACACTCCTAAGTCTAAAATCACCCAATGAAGCTAATCGAATCATAAAAATCCAAATCCGAATTCGTTTACTCATAAGTCAACTTCCGATTGACTTTTCTAACTTAACTATCTAACTAAGAGACTAAGTGTTCATTTCACTCCAAAACTACTCCGAACCCAAACCTACCAACTCGATACAACTGAACACAGCTGGAAAACACATAAATAAGCATAGAAGGGAGAAATGGGCTATAACTCTCAGGACGACAGACTAGGTCATTACAGGGACGCCCAACCCAACTCGGTCGATCAGTTGGCCCACCTAACATATGATGAGATTCTCGATCGATTTGATCGAATTTCAAAAATTCTTTCTCACTTTTCAGAATAGCGGAGCTTTCAAAGCAAAAATGCTCGACATCTCAATGAAAGACAAAGTAGAAACTGAATCCAAAGTTGGAATTAATCAGAAATAGTGTGTAAAGTATTCTAAACTACATTCTTGATATGATATACTAAGAACCAAGACTATGAGCCTGTTTGGCTGGAAGTGTGGAAACTAGACAAATGACTTAAAAAAAGCTAAAATCTGCTTTAAAAAAGCCAAAACCAACAAGTTGGGTAAACCCAACTTTTTCTAAATGGCTTAAAAGCCATATTGCTTTGACCAAGGATATTACATTCTTATCCCTTATAATTTTTCTTAATCTCGAAATTACCCCTCAGCACAAAACTTGAAATTGCTGATGTCTTCTTCCTCCCGAAATTGCAGCATCTACTTTCTTCATTTTACTTTTTTTCTTTCCCATCCTTCTCCAGATTAACGATTTGTTTGCTCCCATTTTTTGTTTTTTACTAATTTTATTTAAAATATTAATTATTATTTTCGTTTGCTTTCTTCAAATTGAAATTGTTCGTTTGCTTTCTTCATACTACTTTTAGTTTTATAAATTGAAAGTGAATTAAAATATTAATTATTATATATTTATATTATTTAGAATAAAATATTATAGCAATAAGCTTCTTTATAGGTTTAACAGCTTTAAGGATATTTTAGTAATTTTAGCAACAAAAAAAATGCTTACTAACACTTGTTTACCAAACACTTCAATAGTTTTTTTTCAGCTCCAACACTTTTATCCAAACACGTAACTGTTTATTTATAAAACCAGCTCCAACACTACTATGAAGTCCCATCAACAAAGCTATAAACCTTAGGTCAATAGCTAGGTTCCACCAACTCTAGCACATCAAAAAACGGTTGCATATCCATAAGCAATAGTTTCTCTTCCATAGCACCTATACTACCCTCACATCAATCTCCCTCCCCAATGTCCTTGGATTCAAACCAAATCACACCCTTTGACATAATCCCATCTGAAGGAATTAATGATCCAAACCTCTTAAATTCTCCAGTGGTTTCTTCAATAAACCACACTAACAACTTAAAGCCCATGCACGGCCCTCCCTCAACCAAAAGGGAAATTCCAACACAAGCTCAAGCTCTAACAACCTTTCCACTAAAAATGCCAAGACTTCCAAGCAACTACCACAGGAGGAATGTAAGAACAAGGAGGAATGTTTGGATAAGAGAGCAACACCAAAGACACAACCATGCCTTCAACCCGTCACAAACGATGCCACACCCACCCCAACCACCAACACTCTTCACAATCCTACCAGTTCAACCAAACCACATCCCCCAGAGTTGGCTGGAACAAGGACTAATGGGACACGGTTTAAGCTTGAGTCTAAGGATCAATGGGGAGGATATAATCATCCAAATAGAGAACCCATGCTACTTGGCTCAAATAACAGCGGAAGGGATGAGAATAGCTATG